CCAAAGATGTATATAAGAGTATAGATACCCACAAGTATAAAGAGCGCATTTATATGTGCCATCGATGTATCGCTGAACTGACTCGTTTGATCATGCTCATAAATATTACATCCATACAACAACTGAACCAATGCTTGTGGCATTCAGAAGGCGAACAAGCACGTCAAATACATGCTCTAGCGCAAATACGGCCAGCTACTAGCACAGCCGCAAACAAGACCAATTGTGACTCGATCAATCATTAAGCCGGCTATCTACAAACCAGACGACCTTACCAAAAGGATAAGATCGGATGCTCGCCAGGGTTTCCAGAGCCGTAGACCAATCGATACAAACACTTCCACACGCAGTAGACCTGCACCACAACTGAAATCCAATTCATTATGAGAGTTAGCATACAATCAAAACACCAAAGCCAAGTTGCGCCTTTCTTGTTATTAATTTTGGAACACCGACTAACAAAGCGGAAGACGAGTATCTAAAAAGATACCTGATATTAAAATCCCCGTCACCCTGATTTTCCGCCTTCGGCTGCGATTTGCGTTCTGTGTGTGTACACATGAACAAATGAGCATCAGACCCACGACTACAACGTTGCCTTTAGAATCATTTAATTTGTTCGAAGCTATCGATGTGCGTGATAAGGAGTCTAGGTAGGTAATTTGAAAGAGAAACAGATCGCATAAACGTCCAAAACTTAAATTAGAATACTTTCGCTGGCATGTATATACAAATATGATTATTGTTAGTTGAGAATATATACCCTTTCGAACTGTTATTAGGCCATTCACATATCTTGCAACAGCACAACTCATACCAAAATAAACGAGAATACTGTGAAGACTTATGTGCTGCGGATGGATCACTACCGCGTTTCTGTTGCGCACAAAATAGGGAGCCACCCTAGCACATCGCATATCCCAGACATACCTCTGAAGACACCATATATCGCATCATGCCACAGAATATGACGAGCTTTAGCGTCACTATAATCCACAAGTCAGATGTATTACCACCCAGACCATGCCCAATGTCGTAGAACCAGTGCTTCCAAACCGCCAGTTTCACCTATGGAATTCGATATATTATTGAATATCAAGGTCAGATATCGCACTTCTGAAGAGAGCAGCTTCACTCGACACACTGCGAGATACTGAAGAACAATATCCATTCACTGTCAGAGGCGCTGCTAAAAGATCATCTATAAAAACAAGGGATTCACAGACGTATAATATCCGTATGTAACCCGTTATATACACATACATCTATGAGTATATATATGAGTATATATATGCATATACATATGTACATATATATATATATATATA